GCTTCAAAAGAAAACAATCCCTTTAATACACAATCCTTTTTATAACTTCTCCATTATTTCAATCCCCTTAATACTTTAATACTGTAATTACTATCTGTTACTATGTTTAGTGGTATATGGAAGATCTGCCTTTAAATCACAAGAACTGTAACTCTTTGAAGGTTTATGCCGAAACACAACTACGTGATAGTGTATTTGAGAAACGATTCAAATGCGACTCTTTTCTTTTGTCCGGAAAAATTGTTATCATAATGAATCTCCCAGCTGTGACGGTGCTGATAATTTGTATCAATACCTATGGGGTCCCTATGTTCGACTTAAAAACTTTTCCAGACTTGGCTGGAAATACTTCAAAAGTAAAAGGAGACTCTGTTCAGTCTGGTCCCAGCTCTAATGTCACGCTGGTATGTCACCACGTGACAACTGCAATCGTTAACCTTACCTCATCATAGCCTGCGCGCGCATGTTTCATGATAATCAAACACGTGATAATAACTGCAGCGAGATATCATTGCTGTCATTTCCAACATTGAATTCTTTGATACGAGGGGTACTTTGTGCTAGATTTTGAATTGAATTATTTGTATTGATGTAAATAAGCTAACGCCGATGTTTAGCGTAATTTTTTAAATATTTACATATTTTAGTATGAATGGGTGAATCATGTTGACTTGATATAAATGGGTTGATTGTATGTTGTGTTATTTTGGGTGAAATTAAAAAGCACATGCATGTCACATAATATCAGTCATTATAACCACCACAGCAGTGACCTGTTTTTAGTGATTACATGTAGCAGTCATCGGTTTTTAATAATGCGCAATCTTTAAAATGAATATATAGCCTCCAGTAATCTCTTACCCAGATCTCTTGTGACAAGAAGGAAACTGCTTTGATCTTTTATCAACTTCTCTCAACTAAGTCCTCAAGAGAATGTATGGAGATCAGTCTGGAGAATTTGGATACCGGGGCTTAAAGGCCATACACGGTCCTAAGGGTGTCCGCATTAACGAAAGTTGACGGCATAACTGCATGCGGTGGTACATCTCAGGCCAGGGTCATAACGGAAACGGGTTGGTAAAGGGTTGATTTTTGTAAGGGCTCCTGTTTTTGTTCTTGGCAAAAAAGCGGTCGCTATTGTCTCACTGCGCTTTTCACAAACACGCGAACTCTGAAGTTCAAAAGCCGCTTTCACAATTGCATTTTTTCTGCCGTCAATCATAATTACGATCACAAGCAACGAGCCTTGAAACACGGAAACACACAAAAAGGATTGAAATCAACCAATCACAGATCACAAACCGTGACCTTTTGAACCCGTTTAAGTAAAGTCCTGTTTCCCAAGAGGTGATGACTGACAGCAGCGAAAAACGTTGGCTTTTGAACTTCAGAGTCCCCGTGTTTTTGAAAAGAGCAGTAAGGCCTTAAACCAGCTCCGGGCATTATTAAAGTGCCGAGGCTAATAGTCAGGTCTCTTAGTGCAAAATACAGGCCGGATCGTTACAGACGTGACAAAAGTGTCAAATTTGGCACAGAGCTTCCTTAGCATCTACCGATTAATACTGGAGGGGGTGCCCGTTACAAATGGTCCTAATTACAGATAAAAGGGGGGGTTTACTTTCACCTATAATAGCAGATTGGGTGTCCTGTGGTGAGTACTCTTCTTGTTTGATTTTGTTAAAAAACATTTGTTGCAAATTTTTAAGTTTTGAATTTGGTAATGTTTAGTTGTTATTACACTATTCAAAATAGTTTTACATGTACATAATACTAACTAGTGCCCAGTCTCCACACGGTAAGTGTGGCCATGTTCATTGTGCGGACTGTGCGGCTATCAGTGTCACTGCTAAGACTTGCCAGTGATAATATCATTACATATCAATTTAAACAGATCACAAAGCCAGCTTTCAAAGATGTCGTACAATAACATAAAACTCAAATGTATCACATCCTAAACGATAGAATCGTAAAGTTTGACATGCCACATGAACGACCTCATGAACCGTAACTGACAACGCGCCCACTTTGTAATTGTGCAGCTAAGATTAGATTATTATTTACTTCGTTGGTAACCCTGTCCTTGAGATAATGATTAAAACATGTCAACCTCGTCCTCAGGGGAAAAAGGAGGAGCAAGGGTGGCACACTTGGTTAGTGCGCAGCCTTCGGGGCGAGAGGTCCCGAGTTCGAGCCCGGTGTCAACACCTCCTTATTTCAACTTCTATTTTTCTGTGTAGCTTTGACTAGCTTTAAATACCTTTAAAACGGAGAATTAATGGAGAGAGGGGGGTAAAAGGAGTGCACCGTCGACCTCAAATTTATGACTTATTATTACTGTCACGAGTTATTGACATAAAATATGGTCGCTTTACCTTTTTCTACCTTTTTATTAAGCCCTGGGGACGAGGTTGTAAAACATGCCTCTCCAGGAATTTTTAACACTCTTTATTTTTTGCAAATTTGCATTTAAAAAGAAGTGTTTGAGGTCCCTGCATGCCTATACACCTGTAAGCGGCTCATTCACTTCAGAGCCCTTGGACCAGAGTGTTAATGGTATGTCTATACGGTCTTTCAAAAAAAAGGAAGGTCGTCGCGTGCGTTGCAATTTACAAACAAACTAACTTCAGAAGAGCTGAAATTTACACGAACACGGCCTCTTTTAGCCAACCAATGATGCATCATTTATGAAATAGCGTAATTTGTTTGATGCAATTAGGCGAATACCCCGTGGTTACGAAATCTTACGATCATGAATTCCTCAACAGCAATTCAGTTACCAGCTTTTCACAAAATAATGCTGTGGAAAATTACCTAAAATACCAAAAAAGCAAGGGTCAACAATAATTATGGCCTGGCCCTTATAATAATGGAGTGGTCATGATAAAGAAGCCCATCAGCCCCAACTTTGACCACTCAAACAGATTTTTGACAGATTACATACTGCAAAACTTTGCATTCACTTATGCCTATGTTGCCACACCAGGAGCCTAGAAATCGGCTCCTGGTCACACTTTGTTTTTATTGCTGAATATCATTCTAAAGAGCTTTACGAAATATTTTGTTAGTAGGGGTGTTTTGAACATGATTGATATTTAGAGATGGTGACAAAAACGAACACAGAAATAGTCACAAAACAAGACGCATGAAACAATTGCACAATCTAATATTCGTTTTACACCGATATAATGGCTTCTTTGGCTGCTATGCTGGCGTTCTTGAAGATGGCCGGTAGTATCACAGCTAGTCCCGGGTTAGGTATACCGTTTATTACCAGTTTCACGATTCCTGAGACTTAGGGCCTGTTAACATAAAGGTGGGGGACCCCAGGTAGGTGAGGTAACCTGCTTAGGTGGGGTAAAAAAATAACCCTCCTTTACTTGCAATCTTACAACCCCGCCATCCTGGGGTGCAGTTTCTCAGGATTATATGAATGGTCGCTAACCATGTAAACAAGAAAAATGCTGGCAAACCACGTCTACGCTCAATTGCTGCTCTTGCTGCAACCTTCAGTGTTGTGGCTTTCTATTGTTACCTTTAATAATTATGTGAAGCCACCCAGCGCCAAAGTGAATTTTGCGCGAATTTGATGTATCTCGAATCCGACCCCGACTAGGCTGGGTTTCCTCACCTTGAAACGTTGACATGGCAAAATTTGACCTCAGCTGAGAGGGTTACCTGGTGTGGCAGACCGGGCTACCCACCTTGAAGGTTCACCCCACCTATCATGTAAACGTGATCAAATTCAAATGAGAGATTATATGGACAGGCGGGTTACCCCTTCCTTCATGTAAACAGGCCCTAAAAGTTAGCCCGGCCCCCTTTCTACGGTTTCAGCAGTTAAACTATTCACCATTTATCATTTGAGTCAATCTTGTACCACTTGAGTCTCACTTTTACGACTTGATAAACTGTTAATATTTTTGGACATGAGTGCTTCAGTGCCAAATGTAGAGGCTTCATGATAAACAATACTGTTTTTTGAAGCTTGGGCTAACTTGTTTCTTTTTTTCGTTTATGAGACCAGATTCTGTTTTGTTTGTTTTTGCTTTGTAAAGCTTAGACAAACTGCGGAAATTGTAAATGATATGACTTGTGCCACGGTGCTTGCTTCTCTGTCAAAACATGCACTTGCGTCCAGCAGATAACTGGATAAAGAGAGACTGAAAGGCATCCAGGCCTATGTTAAACTGAAAAATTAATTACCTCCCTAGGAAAGAACTATTTTGGGTTCTGTCATTTCGTTATTTGCTCTTCATGAATAGCTGTCATAAATCCCTGATAATATGTGATACAACAGACTCTTTGACAATTTCTTTTTTCTGAAATTTTGTTTGCTTTCTTCAGCTTAAAGTGACATGTAACGACAAGTAATACTTGATAAATAAGGCTTAAGCCACATAATAAGGCCTCCTCTAATTGAAATACATTAGAAAAGGAGAAGAGACCCCAGAAGCTGAGTACTTGCAAGTTATGAAGCAAAGACGAGGCCATCTTAGAAATGACTTATGAAAATGTGGGCGGACTGTGGACTTGCTTTAAGGGCACAGTAATAATCAACTTAATTACACAATCAATAAACAAAAATGGATGGGAATGCCAGATGTTCGAGTGAAATTGTTGTTTACAACCTGAGAATAGAATTCAGAGTGATTTAAGGTATTAAATAACAATTTTCAATCAAAACACCACAGGGACACCAGCAGGTGAAATTTACAATAATTAAATCCTGTTTGGCACGCTTCAGTGGCATATTTGCATTGGGCACCCCCTCTTATATTCAAGGTACTGCAATAAGCTATCGCTGTGCAAAGTTTGGTGCTTTTGTCAACTCTGTAACGATCCTGACCCTAAGAGACCTGACTATAACGGAACTAGAACTACAAGAAGGTGTCATCAGGACAAGACAACTAAGTAGGGATAGTATTAGCATTCAACTATTCCATTCGATGTTTAAGTTGTAAAATGAAGAAAAATAGATAAGGTTTTGCTAACAAAAATAAGACCAGTTTATTCAATCAATATATTATGTTTGTAATACATGAGCTAGTATGAAAGCTCTCGGCTGAGGCGAGGACAAAACAACTAAATGATTCTAACTTGAGGCTTGCAAAAGTAACCTCACGGGCGGTTAAATTTAAGAATCATCACTAGATGCTAGATAACAAGCCCTCTTGTCCGCCTGCGTTATTCTTTGGAGAAGGATTGAAACCAGACCACTCAAACGGCTGGAGAGCCAGCCAATATAAAAGGTGGTTTAAAAAAATTGATCAGGTGAAAAAGCTTCAGTGAGAGAGGTAAGTGGCTTCAAGTTTTCACGACAGCAATTTGGATATAATAAATGATTAATGAGAAAGAAGACTTCGATGTCTTTTTTAGGCTGTAAAATATCCAGAACTAAACTCTTACTGCAAAAAAAAATCATTAATAACCTTTTGAACTCACTGCGCTATCACCTCCGAGAAAATGGTCTTGGAGTTTTGGGAATCCTGTTTTACGTTTGATTTGGTCGAAACAGAAAGAGTCTGCGAATAACAGTTTAAGATGGCTGAACACAGTTTTGGCAGTTTTTGAGTATATGTCATTTGCCAAATCATGGGAAGAGAAAGGTTGCAGCTCACAAGCTGAAACTTGGCAAGTGAAAAATATACTGATGAAAGATTTTATTGACAGGTAAAATGTGACGTTTGCCGACGGTTGTTTCCTTGGCAACATGAATGATTGAATACAACCTTAAAATTTCACTTTCGCTCAGTTTACATAAAATTCGCTTATTAGATTTTCTTATAAACTTGCAGACAGCTTACTATAATTAATCATTACCATTTTAGGTAATCAATAATATAATTGTTCTGTAATTATTAAATGTGTCATAAAATTCGTCTGTTTAACTTCCATTTTAAAGTTCTCATTATTTAAAATGCGATAAAAGTAAAAATTCTGCCAAACATCACAAAATTTTAATGAGTAGATTTTGAGAAATCGTCTTCTCTACACCATTGCTTTTTTCGCCGCCATGTTTGTTTGTTTAATTTAAAACACGCGCCGTCACGCGACTTACCGCTGACTGCCCGCAAAACTGTGTTCAGCCACCTTAAATGGCAGTTTTTTCGACGTTAAGCTAAGATTGTACAAACAGGTCATGATGTGATACTGGCGCAAACGCAAAAGTCCAATTTCTACAACCTATTCTTGAGTCTGCTGGTATTATTCTACATCACTGCAATTCTGTGGGATTATGTCCAGTATTTCTGCAGTATAGCAAAGGAGTTTTTTTATTCATCTTAATGTGCAATGATCTCTTAAAATCTAAATTTTGATCACGCGCCCTGGGTCTTTGCTCGGCGAGTGACTTGGGTCTTTGTATAGTATGGGTAGGAGAGTTATAAAGTCTCATGCAATTGCTAGGGCTTATTTAACTTTACTTCAGTCATGATCTCTCGAGTAATAGAATTGTGTCATCCACAGAACAGCTGTCGCCTCTTAGCGGTTGAAAAGCAACTCTATTTGGTTCTTCTGTCGAACTGTCTCTCACATCAACCACCGAGGAAACAGTTTGCAAAAACACATTAGCTTTAGCGTCCTCGCAGGCCCTGCTTCCCTCCTCGTGATAAGCCTGGAACATCCGGGGTGTGAAGAACTGGTTGGCCGTGCTGTGTTGCGGGAACGCATTACAAAGGCACTTGGACAAACAAGCACATAAACATGATTTGCAATGACAACACTCGCAGCAGCAGCAAGTTAATTCCTCCTTTTTTTCTTTGCTCCGAATATCCTCGAGTTTCCTTGGAACCAGAAGGATGATTTCTCCATCGCGTTCCGGCTCACTATCATTCTCTTCATCGTAGTGGACTTTAAATCTGTTTAAAATCATTTGTAGACTGAGAGTTAAATCTGGTTTGTTAATGGCCATTTTAAACAAGTATATTTCATAGCGAACATGATCGAACTGAACTGATCCAAAAAATGAAATTAAGTTATCGTGTGCTCTTAATCAAGAGGTACGCGAAATGTTTCAACATTTTTTAGTTGTTCGTGATTGAATTGTATTTTAAAAGTATGCAAAAGTAACGTTTCCAAACCACCGGCTTGCGACCATCTTTTTTTTTATTATGTCTGAAAAAATACCTAGGGGAAAACGTTATCGACTGATCAAAGCACAAGACGTAAAAAGAAACCTATTTCAATTTGTACACTGGATTATTGGAGCGACTCGCTCTACTTTACCATGCCAAAAGAGTATCATTCCTGAGAATTAAGTGAAGAATACGTACTTGTAATAACGTGATTTTATCCGCTTTGAAGGGTTCACAAACGTCCGCATCAAGTCTGAAATGAGATCTTTACCGTCTTCGACATAAAATGAGCAGTTCAGCTCGGTACGAGCAAGCATCAATGCATCTAAAATGCTCTTTCCGTAGTCCTCTTCATCTTCCTTATAACCTCCGTCGACGACAACAATTTTCTTTAGTTTTCTCTGCAACAGTGGCAAGATAGCGAGATTTTCGTAATGACCACCATCACTGAGCAACAGGACTGCTGGTGGAATTAATCCATGGTTGTCCTTGGAGAAAAACAATCTCACATTGTAGACGAAAGGAATGTGCGCCCTGAGCCACCTGAAAAGAACCAAGTTTGGATGGTTTCTTTTGCCATAAAGATGTATAATACACTGAGCTTAAATGCCGACCCTACAGCTCCACCCCCACCCCCCCAAAAAAATATAAAATAAATAAATAATAAAAATAATAAATGATGATGATGATAATAAAAAAGTGCAACAACAACAACCTTTATTATTACATCCAACTGGAGTGAATTTTACATTTTTCAATGGTTAACGGAAAGAAAAAAAAGAAATTGTTTCATAAAGTGATACGTTATGATAAGAGGATGTCTAGGAGCTAAATAGCTAACGTTTTCATGCTAGCTTCTAGCCATAAAATGATATTTTTAATACCTCGGTGACAGGTAAAAAATAAGCAAGGAAAAAACAACAAAATAAGTAAATACATAACACACACACTATACACTAAAGGGAGAAAAGAAAGAATATTGTCAACTTCAATATTGTCTAATCAGTAGATGTTGTTCTCGTATGCGTGGGAAGGAGAAATTTGGGAGGTCTTTCAAAATGATGGGGAAGATCTTTTGAGAGGTAAATAATAATAATAATAATAATAATAATAATAATAATGGGGGTAATAAATGCTAATAATCATAATAATCCCTGGAACGACCAAGAAAATTAACATTGAGAACCTACAAAGGCAATTCCTCAACTGATCAGTGTTTGTCATTATGACTCTGAGGAAGGAAAAGCTATCTAAAACTCGCGACAGCTAAGAAAACTATAGTACCAAGTTGAATATCGAATAGAAGCAAAAAGTCATCTTTTACAGTAAAGGTCGATTTCCATTGACGCGTTTTTGGCTACGTACATCAAGGCACGTAAATTTTAATCACGTAAATAAAATAGAGGTAAGATAAAAAGTGCTGAGCTTAAACGAGTTATTTTTGCTATTTCGAAAAGACTCAAGTTCCCCTAGGATGACCGAACAGGTACAGATGTTATAGCGCCCTTTATAGAATGCATCGTGGTGCAAAAACAAACCAGAGTTAATGAAGTATAAGGTCAATCAAATGATGCATTTTTACACATTTTTCACGTTTAATAGGGATCAAAGTCTTGAAAGTGAGTGAAGTATATGGCAAATATTAATGATAAACATGCATTTTTACTTATTAATTGAGATTTACCGACAATCAACAATTGGTCCCCCCCCAATTCAGACCCCCCTAAGAAGCAACCAAGGAGGTTTGAGTTTGGGACACTACTGAAAGATCATGATGATCAGCAGCCAAACTAGCGAATTGTGCGGATTTACAACTTTCTTCCTATTTTTTTTTTCTTTCTAAACAGTGACATTGACATCTGCCATTCTCAAAAATTGTAAAAGAAAGTAGTCTCTTTGCAAAAAAAAGCCAAAAAAATCAATTTGAAGTTCCAATAAATTAAGAAATATCCATGTTTGTAATGCAATCCCAATTTTCCCCTTAGATACTTGCTCCTCGAGCTTTGTTTGCTCCGTCTCCTCGAAGAATCGCCCCCACCCGTAAAAAAATCCTGGCTACGGGCCTGAAAACTTCAACTTCAACTTTTACGCCACGAGCGACCTTTTATGAATCGCTTCTATTTTATTTGCGAACGTAAATTTTACGCACGTACGCACGTAAAAATTACGCGACACTGGAAATCAACCCTAACATTACTCTCACCTGACAAACCAATCACAAACTTTTGGTTTTTGCTCTTCTGAATGTGGGACAGCTTCTTCACACGCTAAATCAAGGACTGCGATAAACGCCAGCAAAGCGTGTATTACCAGGAAAGTTATCATGCATCCCAAAAGTGCTGGCTCATAGCGTTTGCTTCCATGACAATAACAAATTGTTGGAATAATCAAGAGAAATCCACGAAAAAAGTCTAAAATAAACGTCACAAACAGTCGGGGGCACTGTTGAGTTAAAAAGAACGATATAAGAGGAGGATGGTAAAGAAGCATTTAAAATGGGTCGAGATAACGATAACGTCCTCTGCAAAATGAATAGTTATGGAAATGAGACGATGACGATCGGGTGATAAAGGTGATGAGGTTAATTAATGACGGTATTGATAAAATAAAGTTTATAGTAAGGGTGATATCACAGTAAAGCTAAAGGAATCACGTCTCTATCTGCGATGTGAAGACAGCGTTGAAGATTATTGTTCGAGGAAGGTTATTATGTTGAAGATCGTAGAGGTGATAATGAAAGTGAAATTCTGCGTTTATGACCATCTCCGAAACAATTCGCCCCCCGTTTTAAAGAACGCAGTTAGTGATTTTATAGAGTAGATATATCAATTTTTAGTTAGGAGAGCAGTTTTCATCTGGTAATTCATTTTAATCCCTCCAGACTGAACTTTTACTTATTCGTTTATTTATCTTTTTAGTATTCACTTTTCTCCTTCATCGAGGTACGTTTATGAAAGTTCAGAGAAAATTTGAAATATATATACAGTGTTACGGACGTCTGAAACAGAACAGGTGTTGAAAGAAACTGTAAATAATATATCATAGGAACTAGAGGGGAGAAATCGTGAAAATTTCATGCTTTTGCCATTTTTAAACAAGCGTAGTTCAATGACAAAGAAAGCAAGGATAAAAATTAAAGTAATAGCAATAGTTAATTTGCACGGCAAAATCAACCACTAAAGTGAGTTATACTGCAGTTGTTATCAGTAGCACAATATTAAATAACCATAATTAATCGATTTAAGGTGATGTTACTCGGGACAATTCGCAACAACGATTTATACTAGCGCAACACAGCTTTGTAATGTTGGAACAATGTTGTAACCATCATAAGCAATATCGCAGCAATGTCGCAAAGAATTGTCCCGTGCAACGTGACATCACCTTCAGGCGAGAGAAATTCATCACGAAAATGTGTTCAGTATGCTACCTTCTTTCGGTATCCTTCATCACTTATCATCGTAGCACCCATGTGAAGTCCAAGAATGGTGTGAAGACGGGTCAATCCTTCAACAGATTCTTCATATTTTCCCATGTGTTTGGAAAGTGCTGCTGCAGATGTCGCCATGGCCTCTGACAACATGATATCTTTTGGTTCCAGTTTGCCTTCGAACTGTCCTTTTCCACACTGGTCAAAACGCTCTATACCCGAGGGTGACATAGTTAACAGGGTATAGTTCGTTTTTTCTTTCTCGTTGTTCTTCCAACGGTTCACAACAATGTTGGATATATACTCGGGCTTCATGCCTTCCAGGTCTGCTAGGGTCAGGGGCTTCGTGTTATTGTTCTTGTGAAAAAACGCTTTCTGTACCCTCCATCTGAAAAATCAAATTACTTTTTAGCCCATGTACGATCTTGGATTCAGAATTCCTCGCTTGTGGATTGCAGATTCCAGGTACTGGATTCCGGAATCCTTATCAGTGTAACTTAAATTGTGGACTCGAATCTTTAGGGATTCCGGATTCCGGATTCCGGATTCCAAAGCCCAGGATTTCGGATTCCACAAGCGCAAATTCTCCAGATTCCGATGGGAATCCGATAATACAATTTCCAAAACATGCTTTTTTCCATCTCTTCAAAACTGTTCTGCAAAAGCTGTATTAACGATTTATATAGCTTTAGTGATTAAACATTGCGTATAACTTTTCTGTTCCTCCGACCCACCGGAGAATTCAATTACAGTCGTCGCTCATATGCATTATCGTGACGGGCCCTTAAAAGATCCTTGTTGTACTTCCTCTAGTTGTGGGACCTAAGTTTTTCTTACCTGAAATAGCGATGCACAAGCTCCTCTTTCAAATTTGTCGTGAAGAAAGAAATCATCATGGCAACTCCAGAGAAAAACAGTAGCCAATGAGACACGTGATCCTCGTGTTTAAAAAAGAAACCTGGCACGCCAACTCTAAACACCCTCCAATATATAACAAAAGAATAAGCATAGACTATCAGGACATATGAGGTCTTTTTACGCAGGAAGGGAATAGCAACCCAGACAATCACAGCAATGATTCCAACCAAAACCTGTTGCCACAAAGCGATCTTCGCAAAAAAATCATAAATTGTGAACGGGATAAACGTGAATATTAACACACAAGCGGCAGCATATTCAAACAGTAGCAGAACGCTTTTTAACCAAGGATACTTCAAAAATTCTTTTTTAAGTTTTGAGATGATGACATAAAGGAAAACAAAACCAGCAAACAGAGAGCAAAAGAGTATAGTTATATCACGTTTGTGATTTCCACTAAGACAACGGTCGATGAGGTCTTTGTCGGGCACTGCAGACGCATTATTTTCTCTTTGTCTCTCTAAGGCGGCATTGCAGTCAGCTGACTTTCGCATCAAATTTCCAATCCCGAAGAGATCAATCATAACCGCTACTGGAAATGCATACTTTCCCCATTTAATTACTGGGAGGACGACCAATACTAGAGCCATGAGGGGGAAGAAGACTAAGGTGTCACAGAGGCCTTTCCATATGCCAGTCCAGTCACAGATGTATCCTGATCTGTCTTTCATTTGGTTAAAGAAATCCTCGTGCCAGCCTCCCTTACCCTGGCCTTCTCTCCTGTTAACTTTCTTTTCTTCGTGACATTTCCAGTCCAGGAAAGCTGCGCCTGTGAAGCCACCCCCTGACACGCAACTTAAATAATCCACTTCAACTCCACTCTTAAGTAAACTGCTCAGGACTCCGGAGCAAAAGGCCGCTGATCTGATGCCACCACCAGAAAATGCTAGTCCAGTACCACCGTTTGATATTTCTAAAAAATTTCATGAAAAATATTATTTGTGACCTTTTGATTATAAGTTTCTGTAATCTATCATATCTGTCTTAAATCATATTTTTATTCAATTTCTTTTACTAGTTAAGAAAACAGTCATTGGCCATTCGTAAGTATTTCAGTACCAAGGTAATGAGAAACATAAGGAAAAGAACGGAGCGCAGTAAAGCGATAATCTTTGGTGACTTCGAGTTAGTCAACAGTTAATAACACAGGGGCACACAACGAGACTATAGTTCAAAACCACTTAAACATAGCATTGTTAAACGTGTTTTAGTATTTAAACGGAAGATATAGGAATATTTTTATCCCCTAAAAATTTTTCATCTGTTCGGATTCCCTAGCTGAAAGTCTAGTGATCCGAAAATTATAGGGATCAAAACTTACGTTTTCGAAAATTTCAGCCAGAAAAAAGGCTACCGAAAATTCTAGGTGACCTTTTCACGGTAAAAATAAAATCATAGGAAAGGCAGGCAAGTAAGGAATTTTACAACAAATGTTCCGAAAATTCTAGATCTCCAATCGTCTTCCGAACAGATATTTTTCGAAAATTGACGTTGGGTGTCCCTGATAACAGACTCTTTGTCTCCCTAGGGTTGCTTTCACGGAATATGTTTCAGGCAATTCTCATGTGATTCCGTAGACATTTCACTGCGATTTCTTGGTGATTTTGTTATCGTTGAGCATGGTTTCCATGAAGGTCGGTGGGTATTCAATAAAGTTTGACTAGGGGTGTGCCACCAAAGCCTTCAAATCCTAGCCCTGTTTAAGACAGAATATGTCCAATTTGCTGTTCGTTGAAGACAGTTGCGTCCTTTTTCGGAATTCTGATTCATTTCCTTTCCCATATAGAATCAAGTATCTATCCTTGGAAAGCTGACGTTATAAAAAACGTTTTTATTCCAAAATAATGTTCGTGCCACATGTATAGACTGCACATCGTTAACGTTCACATGTTGTTTAAAATTGAAGACTTTAACTATAGCACATTCAAGAGTTGTCACTAAAGGATTCTCAAACTCATAAAGAAAATACAAAGGAAATCAATGTTAAATCAGACGAAAAACTCCTTATCTTTGTATCCTTAATTTCTCCTTCTAAAATCACCTTCTTTGATAAGTAATATCAAACCACCTGTCAAGCATCCGATACAGTATTTCATCACAATTGTAATTAAAGCAATTAAATTTAAACTAATTGACTCTAAGCCACTAAAAAAATCTTCAAATCCCTACTTAACTTTTAAAAGAAACCTTTGGCATCAGTTCACCTTTTAAGGGAGGGATTGGGTGACTGAAAAAAAAGAACTCGCAAACACACCTGAAAATGAAAAAACTCTTCCAGCAAGATAAAGGTTGTTTGTTTACAGCAAAAAAGTCACTATGTTTCAAGTTCGTTTGCAGTATAGTAGTATTCTTCCAAACTACATCATTGAAACCCCAACCACACCGCTTTGCGAAGTCATAGGTCTCTTCAGTAGCGACGATTTACAGGTAACGTTTTCTGGGGTTAGTATTTCTGTCTTACGGGAAGACCTTAAAGAAAAATCAGGCCGACTTTTGTGTTCCCGTAGGCTAATTTTGTGTTTCTTATCGGGCTTGGACGAACAGTTCTGTCTAGCCTTTATATTGATACCTCACAATATCTGATTATAGAAAATTTTACCATGTCGGCGGTTTTTTTGGAAGGGGGGGACAGACCTAGGACGTATTTAACCTTTTTCTTTAACTACTAATTATAATAATTCGTTAACCTATACAAACTGTGCGGTAATTGTTCAGGTGTCGCGCGGTGCAACAGACTTAATACACTACAAATTATAAACGTGACAACAACTTCAAACTTTTTCAAAAAGGCGAACTCGGGCTGGAAAAGCCGACGAGTCTGTCATTAGAAGAAAGGAAAACTTTTACTCACGTAAGATACTTGTTTTCGGCGAAGATAGAAAGGGTACACAAAGGTATCAAACTTCATTCAAGCTAAGCAGTATTCGCGTAATGATTTATGGGCAAAACAGTAGCACAGTGCAGAAGTCTTTAACGGCAATTAATGAATAAAAGCGTGAATAACAATTCAATCATGAAACATATACAACAACAACAGTTCAGGTTTATTCAAGTAAGGCGAGTAGTCTGTCTGAACTGTTTCTAAAAATCTTTACAACAGTTTCTGTTTTGAGAAATGCTTGTATACTAACGTGAGCTTCATCGCTTTTAGCCCTGGCTAAATCTATTTATTATACTCAGTAGAAAGATTCTGATTAGCCAATCATTTCTAAAGCCTTTTGAAAAAATAGGGGACGAAAAACTCTCTAGGGGAAGAGGTGAGGATTTCGTGTCTACTTAGTCCCTCCCTGCCAGTCTGTAGGGGCGGACGGGCGACGGACGGACAGGCGTACGCTGACGATAGTTTTTCGATTTCTATAGCAACGGAGGCTCCGCTTTAAAAAAAAACTCACTTCTTCATGGTGTTAGATGTAACACGAAGAAGAATTAAGGATGCAAACAAGAGGAATTTTTCATCTGATTTACAAACACTCATTTCCTTTCTAAACTAAACATCGGATAAATATCCATTAGATTGAACTTAATATCAGAACATCCTCGGTGTCAAATGGTAACCCAAATGTATCGAATCTCTAACTTTGAACTAAGTGATTGAAAAATTTCTTCTGCCAACCTTCCTGGCCTTTGCCTTTACCTTCCTCGTTTTGTTCTCTCTCTTCTCCTTGGTCCAGGTAAGCTATGTTTGTGATCCCACCCTCCGACGCGCTGCTTGAATGAGCTTTATCTTTTGTCATCTCAGATGGCCGGGTTTCTGATATATGAGACAGACGTGAACAACTGAACATCGATAAATAGGTCAAACATTTTACCCTTTGAACCACAAAAATTAGTCTTAGCAATCCAATCAGTCTATTAGGACTATTTATTGGGCTGATGGTTTCAAGTAACCTTTATTATTCGGTATTATGGGTTAAAGTCACATAGCCTGCAACAATCGTTTTCCGGGGAGTTCTCAAGCATTAGAACTTAATAACGGCTTATAATAGGGTGGGGATATTAAGAGTTAAGTAAAATAAAAGGTTGGAAGTTTGTCTTTTAGGTACTTAAAAGGGCCTTTGAATTCAGTGTTCTTACGTAGGTATGTGAAAACTGTATCATTAACAGGCATACGATAGGGATACCTTCTGTTTTAATGGTACAGGCTGTATATGAAGGGGTAAATGGATGAACCCCCACCCGTGTAATACTTTTTTAAGTTTCTTCCACCTCTCGAGACTACTAGACTTCGCTCAAAAAATCTTGATTTTTCTCGCCTTAAAAACACACGCCATCGTACATCCTCCGGCAAAGTGTGACGTCATTTTACCATGGTGGCAAAATTTTTGAATCTCAACAAAAGATAAAGCATTATCTAAAAGGATAAAAAGCGACCTCGTGTTCTTCGAAAGTTCAGATCGATTATGTCAATTCCCTCACTTCAGGTCAAATGCCACAAGAAGACTCTCCTAGGCTTGAATTCTTAAGAAAAATATCCAAGTTTGCATAGAGAAAAAGAAATCCGTCGTTGTGTGTACACATGGTTGATAAAACATGAAATTAGGCATTTTACCTTAACTGAACGATTCCTCGCGCGCCGATTCGTCACAATCTATGTACCAGACCATACGGACCATAAAAATACCTGGATGGTGACACAATTTGTTTTTCTCTTTCTCGCGTGCGCGATTGTCGGGGAAACTTCAACGGAAATGGCCGTCAAAACTGTCAATGTTGTAATAGAAATGGAGTCAAAAGTTCAAAACTTTGCAGTAAAACCACAGTGAAACCGCTCGCCTGCAACTCGTGGTTACACTTGAGTTTTGAACATTTTGACGACATTTCTGTAGTCGATAAGAGTACAGACCATGGATAATTGTTGTCTATTTGTTTAATTCACCTCGTAGTTGTGCAATGACTGCAAAGAAAGGTACAAAAGAATGTGCTGTTCGTACAAGCTGTTGCTTTTTAATCTTGTCCTAGTGCTTTTTTTGGCTTTCTCGATGCCGTTACTGTCGCCGTAGTGACATCTTAAAAACTCCTTATTACAATATTTAAAACTAGTGATAGGTTTGAACCCGGGAGTCGTTTCATAAATAGGTTGAGTATGATCGTCCGGGTGTACGTAGTCCTTAATAGGACCGTTGTTGACAGTGACTGACGTTTCGACAACCTGTGCGGTAGTCATCTTCAGGGCAAAGTGAGTTGCTGATCACGTCAGTTGAAGGTATTAAACTCTGGTTGTTGACCTGATTGGTCAATTAAGTTATTGGTCGTCTGTCAGTTAAGCCCTGATGTTATTGGCTATGAAGACTCTCAATATCATTGGTGCGTATCGATCCGTCTATTGTCACAGTTTAACAGTTGTGTATTGTTTAGTCAAATTGTCAGTTGGCCAATCGTTCTCTCGCAGCTAGTTTTGTTTGAGTCCGTTAATAAGTCGTTTGTACGGTAAAGGTGACTGTTGACTACGATTAAGTGGCATCAACATATTTAGACTTGTACTGATCTCCCCGGCTCCATTAATCGATTTCGGCTGATCAGCGAAGAAAGATGTGAGCGCATTGATCGACATGGCTGCCAGATTTGCAGGACTACGGCTTGTTGAGATCCAGAAATTTTTCTATAATGGCAACGTGGCGTAACGAACTTCTCCTCTCAATTGTCTGACAAGTTTTATTTTATAGTCAGACGTATTGTTCAAACACCAGTTAGTTGTTCATCGATCACACAGATCCTTAGATATTTAAGTTTGTAATTCATGTCCAATTGCCTGGTATAATTTGTAACCAGTACACTGAGTGACAATAACAGTGCCTGGTTAAGGAGGTTTGATTTCCGTCCTTTTCCTGTTTAATAATGCTGAGGCAGTCTGTCTTTTGCCTTGTAGAAACTTACTTGATTGTTTCGCTGGGTGTGGCCTTGACAACATCGAAGAGGGAACTGCACTTTCCTAAAAAAAATATTCTGTCTATAAAATGAATGACTGATTCATGCAAATTAAACCCCCCAGATAGAGATTTCGCAAGTTTCACCTGGTTCTGTAACTGTAATGTACATTTTAATACATGAAGTACATAAGTGAGTCTTAACAGACTGTCGCTGGCTAGTTAAAATTCTCCGGTTTTTCTTTGCAAATTCTTCTTGTGATTTTGCTTGCTATAATTTCTTAAAAATGGGTTTCCTTTTCTTCTCCTTCTCCTTCTTCTACTTTTTCTTTCTTTCTTTTTATTTCTCCTTTTACTGACAAGAATTCTGTTTGTATTACTTTCATGTATTAGTATGATGTGTTTTGTCACAATACTCGCCTAAATAAGCTCTCCCCAAGCGTCGAACACTACTGCGTAGCAGATGTTGGAAGTTAAGGGTGCGAGAGAGAGAAAGCGGGGAGCGCGACGGAAATACACTCCCATATCACTTGCAAGCGCCTGAAGCGCAGGCTAGTGGTACATTTGAGTCATGCGTTTTTAAACTTCTGAGTAAATGAATAGACACCTTTAGATTCGAGGACGGGAACGACTACGAGTACGAGATTTGATTTAAATTTTTTTTCGCGCATTGGCAAAAAATAGACACCCCGGAATTCTTCATTCTACTTTTTTTCACCAGAAAATTTAGCACTGTTATCGTTATTGAAGGAGGTTAGGACCTCTCCAGATTGCAAAATGCTAAAGTTCTAACATTTGATAACTTGTTCCCGCCCGACTACGACACTCTCGCTAAAACTCGTGGTAGAATAACGACGGCTACCACGTTTTCCTGCCAAAATGACGTTCCTCACGCGCGAGTACTACTTACTATTGAGAATATCTCGTACTCGTAGTCGTTCTCGTCTTAGAATCTAATGAATGAATTTCATAACGACAATTTGCCGATGATAAGTGAGTTAAGGTCGCACGCTTTTCCCCAAGACACGAAAGAAACATGGCAACAAAGCAAAACTTACACCAGGTCTTTGCCTCTCACGTTGCATCTCGTTCTGATTGACTGAGTAGTATCTCTCGGGTGCCTCTCCAGGTGAATACTTGTTATAAGCATCAAACTCTGGCTGATCTCGATGATGTGAGGATATCTCATCTGGTTCCCTTCTCAAATTACTCCCATAAGATTTTCGATTATTCTGCTTTAACAGTTTTTGATTTCTTGGTTGTGGTTGTGGTGGTACCCTTTCTGAAAGAAAACCAAAATGATTTACCAGAAAGCCCCTACATTACAAAGTACTGTGGAACCTCTTGAAACCCTGCTCATAAAATTTTAAGAGTACGAAAATCTTTGGTTTTTGAAGTCAGTGTCAGTGGTGGTGTAAACGAGGAACAGGCTTAACACCACATGTTCTGCTCATAAGATGCTTGAGTATTCTGCCTGCCCGCAATGCTTGTAAAAATCGCTTACTTTGCGTGCCCTTTGGACCATATGTAGTTTTCCAAATATGGGAAATATAGTAGGAAAACGTGGCCTAAACCTTAAATACTAACTACAAATAGATAGATAAATAGATAAATTTTGCAAGACTGCGTTAAAATTCTTTCAAGGTTTTAGCCCTTGTTTCCTTGTTCGTTAAACAGTCCGATGCGATTGCTCCTCCATAACGTATGGAGTTTCTGATAAAATTCGCTTCTGGTTTTGGAAGAATTATGTTCTCATTTCTTTTGCGGCCTGAATTCCTCTGTAAAAACAAATCTTTACATTCCGTGACGGTGTAACCTTTTATACATTTGAAGACAAACTCCGTTAATCGCAATTTGTACATTGTTTCCAAACTGTCCCATCCAGTTCTCATTAAGACATCTTCAGCGCTAGTGTCCCAATGCAACCCACATACAATTCGTCCAGCCCTTGCACGGAGTTCCTCCAGGTTGTTTATGTGCGTCTTGTTACACGATCCCCACACTGTCAGACCGTATGTAACTGATGGATGCAGTATCACTTTTGTGTAGAGGTCTTCTAATTGCTTCCGAGTAAGGAATCGCGTGCGTCGGAGTAAACTTAACTTGGATTCGAAGGACTTCGCTACATTTGCAGCATGATTTGGCCAGAGCAACTTGTTATCAACTTGCACTCCAAGGAGTCTTTCTGAGGTTGTCCACTTCATGATGTTGTTGCCAAGACAAAGAGCTTGGATAGGGCCAGTGAATGTTGATTTCCGCTGCATGATCATTGCTTCACATTTTTCTGGTTGTGGTATCGAATTTCTGAGTTCAGCTTGAACATTGTTTAGTGTGTTTGTTAGCAAATCCATCGTTTCTGCGATACAGTATATTGTTTGGTCGTCTGCATACAGATAGGTTTCCGCAGAGCGTAGTGATTTGGGGAGGTCCTTTGTGAAGAGTGAGAATAACGTGGGTCCGAGGACCGACTCTTGCGGCACTCCGTAAGTACTCCGTGAGTACATTATGCATAACAAAATTGTAATTTATTTTACTTTAAGAAATAAGCGTTGACAGGCCAAACACGACTCATAAGCTCGTGATAATGTGAAACGTGACCTTGAGAGTCTTGAACAGTGGTTCTCTTTCTTTTTTTTCTCTCGCGCGGTTGCTAGCACTACACAGTGCATGACTTGTAGCATTCTAAACTTTGACTGAGTGAATCTTGTTTTTGCC